TCCCTAATTTAAACAATCAAAAATCACTGGCAGCCGCTTATTTTATAACGAAGATATAAAGATGTTGCATCTTAGGGGACTTTTCTCCCCAGTTGAATCTCGCACCCAGGCTCTCAGTGGTTTCAGTAAAACCACTAACAGAAGAAACAGGAGGAAGCCTTCCTTTAGCTACTCCCATACCCCTAAGTGACACAACAACCATTAATACGATGCTGACCACACTCAGTGTTTCCAGAGTTTTAGCTATGAACCAACAAATACAGATGTACCACCTCTTTCCTCTTTGGTTACAGAGCAAGGCAACATCTCAAGGAAAATAGGGCACATGCTGCAGGCACCTAAAGGTAGTAGTACAGGAGATGGTCACTACCCAAGCAGATGCAGTGTTACTGAGCAAAGACATTAGGTATGTGAACTCAGTGCAGTTTACAGCAGACTAACCAAAACAGAAGCATACAAAGACTGAGCAAACTGCTTTAGAAATTGAATCCTTCCAGCACCAGAGATACTGTCCTTGAATTCTCTCTGCCTATCCAAATTATTTTACATTTATTCAAATATTTTAAAGAAACATAGGATATCATGATTATCCAGAAATTCTCTACCACCTTCCTAAACAAACTGATCTTGTGAGCACAGAATCTAAAAAACAAAGAAAGAAGCAAACAAACAACAAAAAACACCAGTAAAGCATTTGTTTGCTCACACTGTAAAACTATGTGAGCATCCATGTCTATACATTTGAGCATGAACACAGGGAAGAGGGGATGACCTCCTTTAAAGCTCTATCACTCCACATTGTAGAGTGATGCTGACAATCTTTTCCCTCTGGCCTTCGTATGAGATTGTGCTAACATTTGTTCCCTGCTACTAACACTTGTGCTATCTCCTTAGCTTTAAAGTACTACTAGAGTAGCCTTTAAAAAAGGAGATCTTAAAGGGATGGGACTTGTGTAATTCCTTACGGTTGGGAAGATCATGGCTTCACCATTTGAACAATAACAATGCCAGAAAAATACTGAGCAGGAATATCAACTTCAAGGTAGTTGTTAACAGCGCAAGAGGCATCCATAGGGCACACTGACCTCTCAATCCAAGCCAAGCCAAGGTGTTTTCTCACTCCCATTCACTCTTACCTACATCACCACAAGATGAATTGTGCTTTAGCAATCCTTTCTGTGCAATAGGCTTTCACAGCCAAAATATGAGGGTTGGATACATTGGTTGTTTATCAGTTTTTCAGATAGTAGAGCAAGAAATGAATTATCATAATAATTCCAAATGAATAGAAGAGATAAGGCTACAAACAGGGTTTAAAATTGATTATTTTGGAATGTGTATCTGTCAATTTAAATTGACAGCTGCACAGCCATTTAAAGTATATTTCTGAGCCTCATGCATTACCCATTTTGATGCAAAGAAAAAGAAATGAAATGAATGCACATAAATGGAACTGCAAGAAATACACAGAAAAGAGAACTATGGTGACAGACACCTATCCTAGAGGACATCTAAAGAAAACACGAGGACAAAAACAGGGAGATACAGTGACTTAGTAGGGAAATTCTGAGCAGTTGCCCTAAGTGGTGTGCACAGAGATCTGCAATTTGCTTTATGCCAGCTCTTCTTGTTTCTAGCAGTAAAGTTCAGATTGAGAGAAGCTAAAAACACATTAAACGCTTTCCAGATATTATCCTCTCACACAAACAACTGGTATAAGGTGCCATAGAGATATTCTCTTGCCAGCAAGAAGGGAAATAGTACACAACACTGGCAATAGAGGATATATTTTATGAAATCTGTCACCTTTGACAAGACAGTCCAAAATATGGGAAAGTTTTAAAAAAGCATTATTTAGGTAGGATTTCTGACAATTTCTATACTCCTGCAATATAATATATGAAAATGATACCTAAGGATCAACATTTTAGCAATCAAGCTGTGGTATCTCAGTGAGGAGGAAAAAAAAAGAGAAGAGTACAAAATCTCTACAATTTAGCTATGCTGTCTCCTGACAATCAAAAATGTGACAATGCTGCAGATTTAAAACACAAATGTACCTACTTAGCATTCTTGACTTTCCTTTACTGTAAATTAAGCTCTACACAAAAGTAAAATGGGGGAAGCACATAGTAGAAAACATCCAGTTCTTTCTGCAAGATGTGAAGAATAAGTGACTCTTATGACATGCCTTCCTCCGAAAATAGCAATGATTACACCACTCGACTCCTACACAGCCCCCAACCCGACTTTTTGACACACAGTACATTATATGTTCTCAGTCCCAGAGGATGATCCAAAGTTTGACGATAGGACTCCCTTCATTGCCCAGAATACAAAATACAAAACCTAGGAGAGCAGGCAACCCTGACGTTTTATAACATTAATCCCTCCTTTAAAGCCCAACGTGACAGATATATTCTTTTTTCCCCCTTTTAGGAACTCCAAAATCCACAGCTCTCCACATTTTGGAAAGATGCTGCAAGTCAAAGCAAAGATAATCTACCAACTACAAAGCACATGTGTGAGCAAGATTTTTTTTTTTGGTCTTTCAGGCAAACAAGATTATATAGCCTATTCTCTTTGTGGGGGATGAGGAGGGGGAAGTGTTAACATTGCAGCTGCTGCAGAAGTGGAAGCTGTAACTCCCTGGGAGCTTGTATTGACTCTGTAGCCAACCATGCCATTAAGAGATGCTTCTGTACTACAGAAACTGCTCCATTTGCTTTTTATTTCCAGAAAGAGAAAAACTTGAAGTTTTGACTTGCAGCAGTCAACTGAAAGTCTTACAGCATATCTTGCAATATTTCATACAAGTTCCAATTCAGCTCAATATCCTGCCTATTGAACACAGTATTCCTGAATTATAGTTTTCCTTCACATCTGGTGACATTTAATTCTGAGCTTTATCACATTGCTATTGCCCAATCATTTATTTTATACACACAACTTCCTATTAAATAAAAGAGGACACATAGCAAAGGTAGACTGGAATCACAAGCATTTTAAGTAGCTTTCATTTGTAAGGAGCTTATCTTTATGAAATATGATTTAATAGAAAATAACTCCTCTTATAATGATGACCTAAATTTTACTAAAACCAAGAAAGTGTGTATCAATATTTTAGGGTAAGATATATACTGTCACAGCTTAGCTTTCTACATTACGTTGAAGAACCATGTCTGGCTGATGTATTTATTTTGTAATGTTTAACTATAATAGAAAATAGATGAAGTTCAAATGAAAACACTATTTAGACTATGTCAACAGAGCATAAAACTAAATGGAGTGATTTTGTATTGACTGTAAAACATATTTGCTAATAGTAAAGTTCCTAATGGTTATCTATCAGGATCACAACATGAAATAATTCTTTATCTTAAGAACTGTGTTAAAGCAGCAGATGCACAAAGAAAAATGCAATTTTTTGATTTTTCAAAACATCACGCAGCACATTTTATTGATATTTTATCATTAGTGTAAATAATTCAAAACCAAGCCAACCAACCAAACAGAAAACCAAACAGGAAATCTCCAGCTCACTCTTTTTAATTGCAAGTCACAAAAGGGCTTTCCACTATGACGGCCAATTTACTTTACATTTGTTAGCAAAAGCAAAGCAAACAACAGTATCTTGTGCACTGAAACGACTGCTTTGTTATAAAGGGAAGGATTCAGAAACAAGAAGAAATGATGCTGCTGTAAATACTGTACATCTTGTAGACTCAGTTCAAAGTCTTACGCATTCTTCTACAACAGACTGAAGTTTTACATTCATCTCAACAAATCAATCCACTAATAGGCATCAGTCATCAACACCTAAGTAAAGATCTGCCATTTGAAACAGCTTTGATGTGATTGAAGACTCACACATGGTCGTAAGTATGACAGAACAGCTTAGCTATTAACATGTTTTATCTAGCAAGGAACTGTTCATCCTAATTGACTGAAATACTCTTTGAATGCTTTTATTGCAAGGCTACTTCGCTATGCAATACTTTAATACATAGCCACTTGACTTACATCTTCAGACACAGCACAGCCAAATCAACTCTTGTTCAGATTCTTCCTCACACATGCTTTTGTCAAGAGACCAAAACAATAAGGCTGACTGCCATTTTTACCACCAGCTGCTTAGTTAATTCAGTACCAAAATGTTCTGGGATTCATTGTCAAAGCTGCATGTCATCTCTCCATCTTTTCTTTTAGTACACTAAGAGGACAACCACACCTGCTGGAATCAGTGGGCAAGACTGGATGGATCTGCCCTCTCCCACCTTACACCCACTGCTAGAGACATCACCACAAGGCTGACCATATGTCAAGCCAACAGAGAAGAAACCCAAGATGGCCATCTGTAAGCAACAGCACGCTGCCTGGCCACAAGGCAGCAAGGTTTTCTAGGCCTCCCTCATAAGTCATTTCAAAGAAGGTTTTAAGCACACCCTAATTCAGTGTACCTGACAAAAAAAAAAAAAAAAAAAAAAAAACAACAAGCAAGAACAGAGTAAGGATATATCATGATGGCCTCTATTTCAGCACATTTCCACAGCATATCATAATGGATCACCAGAAACTCCCTCAGAAAATTAATAGTTCGTGCATGTAACATTTTTCTTTCTCCACTATATTCACAACGCATTAACAATTTGCAAGAAGAAGAAATCAAACATACCAGTAACTGCCACCAAGATTACACCTTACAGAATCAAACAAAATGCTGTTGATTTAATACCTCAAATGAAAGACAATTCAGTTTTTACCCTGTATCTATTAACATGTTGTATATTTCATCACCTTCTACCATTACTTCTGTTACCAGGAAGTGCATCACATCAGCTCTCCATATATAGGCAAACATGTCATCTCTTATCTTCTATTCAAGAACTGCCAATTAGCACAAAGCAATAGCGAAGTTTACCACAATCCTCTAAACAATTTCCATGATTCCATATTTTCCATTTCCATATTCTAAATTAATAAAATCCATGTGATCTTACCTACAGTTTGGTGGAGGGTCTAATGTAATTTCTGCAAGTTCCTTCTGAATCCTTAAGAGAGAAAAAAAAAAGAGAAGATATTATTAGGACTTACTTGTTCATAAAGTTGAAAGAAATATTTTGCACATTTCTACAGCAGTCAATTACAATAAAACATAATTCTTGACATTGCTAATAGAAAGCTGATGCTAAAAAGAGTTCATGAAACTGCTCAAGATCAAAATGCTAATCAAAACTTAAAGAAAAAACAAAAAAACAAATGTGAGCATCTAAGTCTTGGACTAACTGTTCCATGTACAGATGTCTAGAAAATCCTGCTTTTCCTGTAGGTCAGTGTGCTCAGCTCCTTTGCTCAATAACACAATTAACTGCCTCATATGCCATACTCTTCTGTTTACCCCCTACCTATCTGCCCACTAGGCAGTAGCCCTGCTCCCCTCAGTTTGTTGTCATCTGAAGACCTGCACAGTGCCCTACCACGTGCTTCAGGCCACTGATAAAGGCCTGCTTGCAGCATGTACCCAGCAGGTACCTCTTAGTTACCAGCACCCTGCTGGAGCTCCTCCTCTAGGCACTACAATACAGTTGTTAAGGATTTGGATGCTCTTCAGGCCTGTGCTACCATGCCAAGCACTTGGATTCTTGTTCTACTTCATATCTAGCAGTACGAATCCTTCTCTTTGTGCTAGTGTCTGCATGGCAGTGAGCATCTTCTCCTACAGAGAAGATCAAATGTGAAGGATAGGAACTCAGAACTTCCACAGTAATTTGTAGGAGCTTACAGTTACCAAGCCATATGCAGAAGTTCAATTGTCATCTATGAACTATGTCCCAAGGCCTTTTCATAGGCTATTTCAGGGCAAAAACATAAACGTTTAGAAAGAGAAGGAAAAAGAAAGAGTACCCTCAATATTTTCTTCTCTCTTCCCCCGGCACAAGATCTCAGATAGTACAGATGCAGATTACACCTTTATTTTATCCCCATACTAAGAAAGAAAAACTGCACAATAGCACTACTCAAGTTCCTTGCATAAGTTCTCAAGCCACAATCTAAGATCTCAGATCTGACATGAAGTGCACACACATCCAGTTCAAAATGACCGCCACCCTTTTTGCACATAATACCGGACAAAAAAAAAGTGGTGTATCAAAATAAACATTCACATACAACAAAAAGAAATGACCAGTTTACACTGTAATTTCAAGATCTAAATACAATCTTACATGCTAAGGAGTCTTACAGACACCTTTAAAGTTCCCATTATGCCAGTATGAGTTGCTTTTATGGCTGTAAAGAATCAACAAACCAAAAGCTGTAGAGGAAACTGGTGTGAACCAGAAACTCCAACTCTTTAGCAATTACATTCTGAAATAATTAGGACATACATCGGTAAGATTTGTTAATAAAGAATATTACTTCTATCTACTAATGCAGTTGAAAAGAAAAAACAGACTTTTCAGACACCCTAACTTTTCTTCCAACCCCTGTCCACTCCCCCCCTACATATAGACATCAGTTATTCCTGTAGACAGGAAGAAATTGAATGTTTATTTGCTTATATTTACATCTCCAGAAAGTAGAATTTCCCCAGTAAGCATCATTTCTTTCTTGTAAAAATACAAACACAGACTGCTTAATCAATATTTGCAGAAACTCATGGTAACACTGCAAGCCCAACACATTTTTTAAAAGGAAAAATCTGATTAGTGAAGTCCAAGTACACCAAACATTGTTTAAAAAAGTTGTTGTATTTAAACTACCCTGACTATTTGCACCTATCAAAAGGGAGGAGATCTTAGAATCATAGAGTCACCAAGGTTGGAAAAGGCCTCCAAGATCATCCAGCCCAACTGTCCACCTACCACCAATGTTTCCTCATCTTACATCTGTGGGAAATGCTTAAAATATTTCTTCTGTCTATGGCAAAGATTCGTCATGTTTTCAAGATGTATCACTATTCCAAACCACAGAAACTGTAAGTAGCATGAGATCTCCACTAATTTCATGTTTTATAGGTTTATTTGCTTTTTCTACAAACTGCTTCTAAATTCTGGTAGATTAGAGAATCATGGTATTAAACTTCTGGAGCCAGGGACTATTCCTTTGCTGTACATATGAAAATAGGAACAGTTAATATTTCATTGCATTACGATGTGTCCTTGAGACACCAAGAATGGGTTGGCAAATACAGCCTAAGTCCTAGATCAAAAACCTTCCATTCATCTTCTTAAATCTGAATCCATTTCACTTCCATTCTGAAAACAAATGGGTAGAGTCTGCTCTCTTTTTCTTCTTCCGTTTTGATTTAATAACAATAAATACATTTCAATTTCAAATGCCAACAGCACTAGAATGGTCCAAGATTGAGCTTTTCCTTTGATTCAGGAAGCAAGAACAAAACACCTTGCTGTTTCAAGCGATAAGAATTGATCAGATAATACTTTAAGTTCAAAAGTCCTAATTGCTTTAGAAAGTATCTAAGATAAGGAGACGTTCCACTTGTGCTTATTTTTACACAAAAAGCTGCAACGTTAACACCATACTCAGCAAACTGTTCATGCTTATTCTCCTGCTCTGCACCATTCCCAAAACAATATATACACCTTATATCTCTTTTGTTGTAACTTTAATTTACCTTGCCTTCCTGCTGGGAGCACATTCATAAACAGTCTCTGTACAGCAGCTGACATGCAATAGCTTGCTCACATGTCATAGCATTCAAAGTTACAATTAAATCATCAGAAAACATCCCAGAGAGCCTTGCTCTGATAGAGACCTCCAACACGCAAGCTAGCCTTTGTCTGCATGAGTTATTCCACTGCTCTGGCACTCGCTCCAAATCTCCATTGAGTTGCCTTCAGAATCTGGCACAGGAGAAGATGTGCCTCATTTCCTTCACTGACCACAGAGGATTCACCGTGAGCCTATGTGGCCTCTGGCAAAAAAAACAAAAAACAAAAAACAAAAAAAACCACATTTTTGCAGGTCCTCTCTGGCACTTCTTTCTTTGGATTTTCTGGCTCATTACAATTATATTATTGCAGTGGAAAAATGATTCTATATTAAAATAATTAAATATACAGTGTGTGTGTATATATAAACTAATGACATACTGGTTTACAACATATTGGGAGTGGGGGGTAGAAGTCTCTCTAGTAATCAAAGCTCTGAGCTGTACATGTAGGACATTTAACCTGCAACATCAGATCCGTTGTTCTTTGTTTGATCTTAAAATACATTGTCTGACCTCTGTTTGTCTGTCTCCCTGTCTCCCTATATCTATATAAATATATAAAATTACTATTACTGTGTTTTCCCTCGATTTTACTAATGGGAAAGAACAAACGTACTTGCCTTCAAGTAATAGTGCAAAGGTTAATCTTCCCCTAACTTCAGAAGCACGAGAGTACATTGTGGATTTCAAATATTATTAATTCTCACAGACATATGTTTACTGGTGTTCCAAGCCTAGGGGGACTGTCTGTTGTTTCCTTCGTGAAACAGTTAAAGTTCGCTAAAGCTAAGGGACAACTGAACATGTTAGGAGATTTCCCAATGGGATTAAAAGAAAAAGAAGCAAAAAAGGACTATCTGACAATAATCTACTTTACCACATCCATTTTTCTAGAATATGTGCCTCTTAACTCATGGAAATGACATGAGCCTATACTCCATACTGAAGTACAGGTTATTTAGGAAATACTAAGAATCACTAGTATAAATTTCAATCTTACAGAAACTGTGACTGCCCAGGAAATTCATCCAAAGAAGGTTAGATTCATGCTCAAAGAAGTAAAATATTCAATCATCATATTAGATGCACATGTAAACAGCAAAGATAATTCTTGTAAGAAAGAACAATCCATTTTTCTACCATGGTCAGCAGGCTTCTTGAAAATAGCACTATAATAAACAACCCTGAAAAAAAAAAAATTTTTTAAAAAAAAGAAAAAAGCTCATTTTAGTTTGTTTTCTAACAAATATAACCCATTAACTAGTAGATTCCTTCTTTCAGTTAAAGAAAAAAAAAAAAAAAAAAAAAGGAAAACCTACAACTGGGGTTTTAAAGTTCACAATTCATTGTAAGCACAGATATTTATAAAAAGCAATCCTGGACCGGACACTCAGGTTGACAGATTTTCAACTATCAACTTCAGGAGCAAAACAATACATTTATTTGTCGAGCTACTGTGTCAGCCAAGAATGGTTACACTTTTCTCAATTCAAAGGTCAAGCTAAGATTTGCTGCTTAAGAGGTAACAAGATGCCTGCTGTTTTCAAGGACAGCAATTCAATTCCATGTCTGAACTGTAATTGTGATATGCAGCGAGTTTCTCAATCTTGACATGTTAGGTAAGAAAGGTTGCTATTTAGGGTGATGCCCTCTGGGTGAGGAAAATTGAAGGACCGGAAACTGTACGACATACACTGTAAGCTATTACACCTGCATAGCGGCTAACCTTAAAAGTACTAGCAGAGAAGGACTGCATGTGGAGGTGTTCTGCCTTCTTGATGCCACCCATAGCGAAGCTAACATAAGAAAAACAAAATCACTGCCACTTAAATACACATTCCAGCAGTCCCACATATCCTTCATAACAAAACCATTTTGAAAAGCATTAAATTGCTAAAGCAGCACACTCTTGCATAACGGATGGTAGCAGGGTGTTTACACAAGTGAAAAAGAGCTCTGCTAAATTTTGATTTATATGAAGTCAATACTACTGAAAATTCTTAATAAGTAGATCTAATTGTCTACATAACCACACAATGAAAAAGTAGAACAGAATTATGCCAACTACAAATGAACAAATTCTTAATTCTAATCCAGGTAGCATAAAGTAATTCAAAAATACTGTGATTACATTTCTGTACACAAGAGAGGTCCCTTCAAGTGGAAAAATGTGGCTTCCAAATTCAGGTTATACTGAAGCCCATAGCCCGTGAATTAGACCAGGGAATTATTTAATGCCTGTGCTGTATTTACTTGCTAGCATTCTCTGTTCTAAACAGAAGTTAAGGCTTTGGTCAAAGTTCCTTCATTATTGTATTCTCTGTTGTTTGGATTTTGATGTTAGCAGAGTTGACTGTTTTAACTAAGAGAAGGTTACTGTCACCTTAGTATAATGCCATGAAAACCACAGAATTCAAAAGCTAACAAAGGAAAAAGTTGCTGAGCGCATATCCAGTCTTTTCTTCCTTCAGAAGGACAGCTGAATTACTTCAATTTGTTACAATTTTAAAAACATTAATGGTCAAAAACTATATTCAATTGAAGGAGCGTAGCCTTATTCTCACAGTATCATTCATTTCTAATGAAAAAAAAAAAAGTATTACAGAAATCGATTATATAAAACATCATCGGCATGAGATGTGATAATATATGTTTCCTTCTTTGATGTTACTCCTCTCCTTTTATTCCTCTACTTTAATTTCAGATTTTCCTCATCCTCTAATGACTGACTTTCCTTCCTCAAGGTTTTACTGCTTTTAATCACAAAGCAAAGAACAAAACCTGTTATACAAATACCAGATCAGATTAAGAATGCTTACAGAAACGTTATCCTCATTGTAACACGCTGACAAAACTACTGAATAGGCTACACAACTACAAAAACCAAACCGTACTGCTGTAAAGACTATATTGCTGTGATTCTTCCCTAGTTTTATGACAACCAGCACTTCTGAAAATACATTTATTAAAAGTATTATTTATTGTGCGCTTATCTACAGAAGCCTTATACTTTTATAAATCATCTCAGCTTTTAAAATGCATAATCAAAGGCTTCTCTACAGTATTAGTAAACGTGAAACTCTTGTTACAGTCTAACCAGCAAATGTACTGATGTCAGCAACTGGCATAATTAGTTTCAGCAGAATCATAAGCAGATATGATTAAACTTTAAAAGGTTTAAGTAATTTTATCACTGTGAAATGCATGTTGATAAAAGCTCTGAGCTTTGAAGATGCAAAGCTAAGATTAATAGAGCAATTTCTGACATATCATTATTAATTTTTTAATAGGATAGTGTCCACAGGCCCTTGTTGGAATCACGGAGTCATCACATCAGATATTGTACAGACTCTTCTCTAAAAACGTTAAAAATTGGAGTTGAGACCTTCACATTCCTGTCTAGTCCAATATTCCTTATACTAAAAAACAGCAATGGCAGCAAGCAGACAGAAGAAGCCCAGAAACTACGATGACTGTGGGAATTAACTAAATGAGTAGCACTGTGGCTTGAAGAGAAAGCTTTTGGTTTGTTTCTTTTGGGTTGTTTTGTGTGTGTGTGTTTTGTTCTTTTTTAAAAAACTTCTTTTTCTTTTAGTCATAAAAAAGAAACTCTGGCAAGCTCTGCTGGCTATCCTATAACCAATACAACTAGATCATCTCTGAACAGCACCATACTAGGAATGGGTGTTTGAGAAAGCATCTTGCTCTGGAAGGAGAAAAGGCAAAGGCCTCACAGAGGCTGACTGCAAGGAAGGTACTGGGGCAGGAGAGAAGCATGCTAATCATACACTGGGCCTTGATGCTTCTCCTTTTTTGTGAGACTCTGTGTACAATTCTTTTTTCCGCACAGCAGCACATCTCCATTGTCTTTTCTTGCAGTTCACACTGTCTTGAATTAGTGAAAAACTGGATCTGGGACAGTCTGCAAAATTGATCTCATCAGATTCTGCTAAAAGTGTTTAACTACAACCACTGTAATCCCATCCGAACTCTGCTATCTGGACTAACACCAGTAAGTACTGATAGAGAAACACAAAACACTAAGTTCCCCAAGTCTGCACCAAACGTGACAGTCATTATCTGGAAATGAACACAACCACTTAGATGTCTTGGAAACATTCAGTGTGAGGCTGGACAGAGCTCTGAGCACCCTGATCTATCTGTAGGGTGTCCCTGTTCATGTCTGGGAAGTTGGACTACATAACCTTTAAGGGTCCCCTCAAACTCAAACAATTCCATGAGAATAATTTCAATAGCTGTTCCACTTTTCCTCTCAAGAAGTAAAGAGATGCTAAAGAAATAGGTATTAAAACAGACCACAGTTTAAAGTAATGAAACCCAAATGCATTTGTTGTTCACTTCAGTGTCTCTGACCTGACCATCTGGGAAAAGGGAACACAATACTTTACAGCAATAGGTATTACGGTAGTCCTAACATGCTGAATTACTGAACTGTCTGAAATGTTTATGGTTAATTAACTGTAAGTTACACTGACAAGTTTCAACATCAGTCATACATACACATACAGAGATGTATTTTATAAGGCTACAAAACTGTCTGAGTTTTACTAGCAATAAAAAAATGTCAGCTTTTATCATGCAGGCTACTATTAAAACCACGTGAAAGAGCCAATTTGTCAAAGAAAGGAAAAAAAATATACAGGTCTCGTTATCATGACCAGCCTCAGAAGACTGTTACACTGACATAGTAGTGCTACAGTAAAACAGTAAGAAAATGAATATATCGAACCAATACATAACATCTGATGGCCAGCTGAACAACAAGAAAGGGAGAGAAAAAGACAGAAGGAATACTGTACCTTTTAGCACTGGTTGACAGTTTAGCAGCTGTTTTGCTTGATATTTTGCCCTCTTTTTTCTTGGGTTGAACTTGTTCCCTTTCTTGTTCGGGCTGAACACCTTCACGCTGATCTCCATCAGAGCTGCCTCCACTAGTGCTCGGACTGTCATCAACTCTCTGCCCCTCCGCAGACATGGCAGATGCTGCACTGAACCAAACACAGACCACAAAAGTCAGCTTTTCCGGAAGATGCTGTCCAACAGTATTTCTAGCAGCAGGAAATAAAACACAAGATCCATGTCTGCATACTGAAACACTTGCATTACAGCACTTCAATCATCTTAGTACTGAAGAGTTTTGCCATAAACATCTTAACAATAATTCGGGAATTGGTCATTTCAAATTCCATAACAAATATATATGAAGAGAAGGTAGGTTTATTATTTATGATAATCACAAGTTACTGTAGTTAAGCACAAAACACAATTGTGTGAGTATTACACCATTGCCACAAATGAGATTTTCCCACCCCTTGGTCATACCATGAATTGACTTTCTCATCACTGTGCCACCAGCTCACATTTCGCATCATTTGTTAAAAACCCAGAGCTACTACTATCTGAACATTCTGCTATCCCATATGAAATAAATCTGTGGGTTCATTCTAAGTCTATAACATGGGTTTCCACATTACAAAATCCACATCTTGGCATGCTGGATGGAAACACTTGCAGAAGCAAAAGTCAGTAACACAGAACTGTTTGTGTTTACTAAACACTACGCTTCTAGAACGGTAAGCACCCCGGGAGGGGACACACAAAGTATTCTCTGCAACAAAGTTGTCAGGGATCGGGAGCTACAAGAAATCTCAGCGTGCTTCCAGAAGTCAAGTTCACAATTTACACGCACACTTCAAATACCAGTTAGCTATTCTCACTATTTCCTTCCTTTCAAATGGTACAACACTATGGCAGATGAGGAGTTACAGCTGTTAATGCTTCTCAAAGCATTCTAATGAAGGGCAGACATCCATGAGAAACTTTCTGTAAATTAGCCTATATGGTAGTGATGGCTGCTAGAAAATTGCAAAAAACAATGCCCAAACCAACAAACAAAAACCCCCAGTATCTCTAAGGCCGAATCTGGAGCTGACAGGGGCACGTTATCTGTCCTCCTCTAAAGCAAAGGAGCCACCTTCAAGGTACGCAGGCCTCAACATCCTTTGCTCACACCCACACAATCCCACACATCAGGGAGGTTTTCTGATTGAATCTGACCGAATCCAGAGTCTGCTCCAGAGTTTTATATTGCTGTGAACTTCCACTTGCTTTCCCTTTTACTTAGGTACAGACACCATCACAATTAAGAGCCAAACTATTCACCTCGGAGATTATACATTTATAATCTCTGAGGAGAAGATTAAGGGTGGTTTGTTTTGTTTTTTTCTTTTGGTCTAGTTTATGAAGCTAAACAGAAAGGAGAACCTGCAAGCCTGAGACATTCAAGATAATTAGATGCTGCAAGAAATAGCAAGAGATGGATATGGGATAAGTTTTCCCTTATTCAGCTTACACTACATTTGGATTCAATTTTTGAAAATGGTATTTTTGAAACATATTTTCTTGCATAAATTTTATAAAACAAATTTACACTTCACTGCATAAAACAACTGAAATAACAGCGGGTTTGACTCCTAAAATTAAAGTAAGAAATTGTTCATCCTTAAAAGAACATCCTTCCCTGCTGTACAGCTACAAGATGATACTGAGCACAGTTCACATATTTACATGAGTTAATGCCTCTGTATTTATGTCCTGCTTGTCAGATGGAAAGATAAAACAAATTGAAGATTTAGAAGTAATGGAGCACAGAAGTGCCATATCCTGACAAGTCAAAATATGCATTTAATAACGACAGTGCAATTTTGGTTGTAGGTACCTGTTTTCTTTGCTTCTACATACAGTGAAAATACCACCTGATCTCTTCTAATAGCACTTTTGATAGCCTTTATTTACTTTAGATTTTAGTTCTGAACTTTGCTTAACACATCTCATTTTCAAGAGAAAATTCCCTTCCTGATGTACATACACACGCTTTAAACACTGCAGGCCAGAAAGTTAAAAACGTATTTAACGAAGCCCGCATGCATGGGACATCTGCTGCAAATAATCTTGGCTATAAATATTACTATTATCCCAAACCAACTGCATTGCTGGGTTAAGTTCAGGTTACTATCCAGCAGACAAACACTGTAACAGTAGCCCTGAGCATATAATTACTGTAACATGTAATGCCAGCATTTACAGCAGGAAAATGCTTGAATCTGTCATTTGATGTCTGGCTGCCTTCTGATTTCCCCCCTTCTCCCTGTGACACTCCCGGGCGCTCTCCCCATGCTCTCTCCTCCCGATGGCCGCAATTTTAGAAATGTGGCACAGCTGAAGGGATGCTCCGCGCCGCGCTCCGAGTGCCTTCCAAAGGGCCCCAAGTCAACTCAAACTCAGGAGGCAGACAAACAGATGAACAAATAAGAGAATGGAAAAAAACACCGAGAGGCGGATGACAGCGCTGGGAAAGCATCTCGGTGCCACGAACGGGGAGGGAAGCACTGGGCGCTGCTCGGAGCCGAGAGCGGCAGTGTGGCCGCAGGGCGAGCAGGGTGTGGGGATGTCCGGCTCGGGGGTCCCGACCTCCCGCCCCGCGCCCCGAAAAGGAACGGGAGGGCTGAGATCGGGTGCCCTCCTGTTTCCCCCGGGATGATTCAGCAGGGCTGGGATTAAGAGTGGGGATTGTAAACGGAGGAGCTCCGGAGGAGCAGCCTCGGTCACAGTCAGCCCCGGGCACTTCCCTCCCTCCCCGCCTTCTCAGAAGGGAAAACAAACACGTAGGCAAGGAGTGCCCCCCGCAAACCCTACGGTCGAGGCAAGGGATCCAGGCGGGTCTCGGGGGGGCGACTGGGGGCGATTGGGGGAAGGGGGGGGGAGGGATAGTCCGCGGGGATGCCTCCGTCTGCGGTCCTGATTTCCCGCGAGCAAAGGCGGGCTGAGAGCGTCATCCTCACCTTCATCATCCGGAGCCCCGGGGCCGGCCACGGGAGGGGACACACGGGGGGACGCCCCGACCCGACCCGCAACCGGGACACGGAGGGGACTGCGGGAGGGCGGCGTCGGGGCACGGCGGGGGGCACCGAGGGGACGGGGTGGGGGTGGGTGCTGACGATGGGGGGCGGGGGTGGGAAGAGGTGGGGGGGCGGCGAGGAGTGCGAACGAAGAGCGGAGAGTTGCTAGAGGGCACCGGGGGCGGATGGGGCCGGGGGCGGGGCGGGGGAGGGGTGCTGGGGATGGAGGCAGAGGCCGGAGGTTGCGGAGGGTCGGTCACGGGGGTGGGGGGGCCGCTACCTGCGAGCGGAGCTCTCCGGCTGGCGCGGGGCGCGGGCGGCGGGACGATCCGTATCGGCGGCCCCGGCTGCGGCCGGGCGAGGGGCTGGCGGGGGGCAGCGGCCGCTCACTGAGTCATGAGCCCGCCCCGCGCTGCCTGCCGCCCGCCCGCTGCGCTCCCTTTCTTCTTTCTGCCCTTTTTCCCCTCTCCGAGCCGAGCGGCGGCCGCTGCCCGCACGACCTCCGCCGCCGCCGCTCCTGCCCCCGCCGCCCGAACAGAAGTGAAGCCGCTGTCGCCGCGCGCGCGCGCGCGTCCCTGACGCCGACGCCTCCGCGCGCGCTCGCGCCAGGCCCCCTCCCCGAGCACCGGCGCGCGCGCCCGGCAGCCAATTAGCCCGGCCGCCGAGGGAGGGGCGGGGGGACGGGTGCGCGTGCGCGCGCTTTCGGAGAGGGTGTGGGGAAAGGGGGCAGAGCTGGCGGCGGGAGCGCGCGTTAAAGGGAAGCCCGGGGCGGGGCGGTTGGAGCGAGGAGGAAGGACGAGGCGGCGGCGGGGTGCGGGGTGGGGAACCGAGGGATCTGCGGGGGACTCTGTGGCCGACGGCGGCAGCGCGGAGCGGGGCGACCGCACGGCTCGAACTTTCTTTGCTCCCCTTTTCCTTTGTTCCCCCGGCTTCTGCCCGCCCGCCCCTCTCGGTGCACGTCCGCGCGGGCAGCAGTGGACGTGCGGGGCCCGGCGGTGTGCTTTGGGGTGGCACTGCTTCGAGTGGGGCGAAACCCCACGGGCGCTCTGCGCCGCCGCCCCGTCCCTTACATCACAGCCGGGGGCAGCTCGCCTCTGTTATATAAACTCACATGGGCTCACCGCCACCGGCAGCCAAATACGCGGCTTTGGGTACGGAGGTAAATGACGGCCCCGAATATTTCCCCCTTCTTGAGGGAATTTAAAACCATGCTTCTGATGTTCCACATTTAGAAGAAAAAGTTTCTCCCTTCCTCAGCCGTGGGGTTTTGTCCTTTTTGTGACTCACGGCAAGGGCGGCGGTGCAGCCCGTGCTGCCCAGCGGGCTGAGATGGGGGTGGGAGCACCGCAGGGACGCGGGGGGGTCGGCAGTGTGAGCGGCGCCCGCGCCTCATCGCCGGCAGCTTTCCCTGCACATAAAGTCCATCTTGCTCCTGGCTGATGAGTTGTTGTGAGATAACTTGCTATATTGTCTCTGCCTGTCTCTTTTTTAAATAATCCCAGCAACGTTTTCACCTGTACTTAAAAGCACAGCAGTCAGCCAGGTCTTCCTATTTCATGTGCAGTTACAATCTATTTTTCTGCTGCTAATGAGCTCCCAGTGTCAGCTAGGTGGGTTCCTATTTGCTGGCATGTGTTGACTTCTCACAATGACTAATAACTCAGTAATTAACAGAACACAATGCATTGAAATCGCTTAAAGAATTCAGATCTTGTGCAAGCAGTGCTTCTTGTCATGCTGGATGGTTGCTGGCCACATTGCACACTCCTGGCATCACTTTATACTCTTTTCTAAACTGATTTGCATCATGCCTTTTTCTTCCAGGCATTCCAAAACTAGACTCCTAGAAGCACAGGGGAGAAGGACAGTGAATAGTCTAATTCAGACAGGGGTAAGATGGGGACAGGCAATGTACCAGAATTTGGGTCATAAACTTCCAGTGCCAAAAAAATCAAGGGAGTGCTGAAGTGTTCCAGCACCAAGTGAAGGGTTTGAGTCACCGAGAGCTGGGCCCAGATTTTACTTTTGGTGAGTAACCTCTGGCCCAAAGCCGGATCCTAGCTGAAGTTAAGGACAGCTGACTGAGGATGATGACTTGTGTTGCCTCCTTACCAGGACTCTGTAATTGTAGAGGTGGAGGATTTTTAAGGAGACACTTAGAATCATAGAATCATAAAGGCTCGAAAAACCAAGACCCATTCCCACCATGCCCACTGAACCGTGTCCCTAATTACCACGTCTACCCTTTTCCCAAACACCTCCAGGGACAATGACTCCACCACCTCCCTGGGCAGCCTGTTCCAATGCCTCACCACTCTTTCTGAGAAGAATTTTTTCCTTATATCAAATCTGAACCGCCCCTGGTGAGGCCATTATCTCTCATGCTATCACTTTATCTGGGAGAAAGGCTGACTCCCACCTCACCACAACCTCCTTTCAAGTACTCTCCACTTTCAAGTGGAGAGCCATATAGACTCCCCTGTGCCTCCTCTTCTCCAGACTAAACAATCCCAGTTCCCTCTGCCACTCCTCATAAGACCCTTCACAACTTGACTGCCATTCTCTGGACATGCTCCATGGCCTTGATGTCTTTCCTGTAGTGGCGGACCCAAAATTGAACACAGTTCTCAAGTCCCATCTGTGCAGTGTGAAGTGAATAAGGCAGTGTAGTCAACTGCTCCCAGATTCATCCTTTTGACCTTCCAGAGTAATGTGTTTGGCCTTCAGATGTTAAAGGTTATACAGTTTTGTATTATTCAAAATCCTCTGGAAGACTTTTAAAATATGGTTTGCATAGGGTGAAATCCTGACCCTTTTGAAGTCAGCAGCAATTCTCCAGCATTGTTCTTCACCCCAAGCTGGAGTGTTACACTGTATTTTCCCTGCTTGGCTTTGTGTGGTTTCTAAAAGCTGATGCTATTTACAGCTCTGGGCACATCCGAAGGAATCTTAACTCCTACAGAAGCTTACGACTTGCTCAGAGAAACACACTGGGGTGCAGCTCTACAGCACAGGCAGTCGTGCCATCAGGCTGTTATAGCTAAGGACACTTCTGTTAAGGCCTCTTGATTTAGAGTGTCTGCTATGAGGGCAGAGACATCAATCAAAATCTGTGAAGTTGGAGAAACCTGAGCCAAGTTTCTATTTAAGAATGTTTCTTTTAAGGATCAATTAAAATTATTTTTTTTAGCTGTACTGAGATCTTGTCTCTGGCAAGTTTCACCCATTTTTTGTTCAGTTAAGAAAAATGGAAATTAAATGCTTGATTATTGTTATATGTCAGAACAAAAATTAGAAAAATGAAACTTTGAATTTTATACTGCATTTATGAATTATTGGTCATTGGCATTTAAGCAGAAAACCACTACTGCTATTTAGGCTGAGAAACATACAACGTGTTTAGGTTATAACTGATAAAACTTCATGTGTACTGGACATACAAATTGAAGAGAGTTTTTTGAGGCAGAGAAAAGACCAGGAAGCATCTCCACTGTGATACAGCTGAAAATATAACAGCAGCTCTCAGCGTCTCACCTTCAAAACTTTAAAGTAAAAAGAGAGGTGGAAAATATTCAATTGCCCATGGAACTCTTTGTTGTTCTGTCAGTCCCTTTCAACCAAACCCTAATGAACCAGATCGTTTCATCCACTTGAACCATTATCAGCAGAGGATTGGAGCAATGGGAAGCTGGAAATCTCTGTGGGATCTTCCCCAGTCTGTGTCCATTGCCTCATTCCTTCCCTGCTGCTCAGTGTATCTGGTGAGAGCAGCTCTCAGCAGGGGGTCCTCTCCCAGCATTTCCCCCCATCCTGAGTTGAGGTGGGCATGCAGAATGGCAGGAGTCTCTCCAGTGCCTTTATGCTGTTATCCTCTCCCATAGCTGGCTTTCTTCCTACTACTATACTACTGTGATGTGTGTGCCTTATGGCACAAAGCCATAAGGATAGTCCAGAAGATCTGGCTTGCTCTTTTTTCTTTTTTCCCTCCCTGATAATTATTTCTCCCATTTGCTTATTCTCGCACTGCATCTAATTACATTTTTTTCTATGATTCCACTTCGCTTTTGTCATCAATTTGCTAAATCCTACTTTGCAACTACATGTTGGCAAATGTAAACTGAAACTCACAGCTATCTCAATCTCTGAAGCCTCAGCTGTGCCTGAAAACACAGTGATTCAGACATCAGGATTTTTCCTGTTCATTTTGTTTTCCAGCTATCGGCATGCAGAATGAAGTGGAGGAGTGAGGACAGGTTTTTGGAAGGTATCTGCAGCTGAAATTCTATTAGATTTTTCAGTTAATTGTGTATGTCTTTATCCCCCCCAAAATGACACCCTGTGTCAGGGAAAGCATGATTGAATCCTGAACATCAGGTAAGCTTATTATTTAAATACTGCCTTGACAGAAATCTGTTTAAAGTATTTTCATGGCATTCTAAAGTAAAGTGATTGTGTGGGCACAGAGACAAGTTATTACTAGCTTTATTTGCTCTACAATAACGTAAACCCCCAAATCATTAGAATTTATTCACCTTAATCTTTTTAAGCCGTTAGATATGAAAAGAATTTTAAGTTGTGATGCAAACAATTTGAGATCTCTTTCACTCTATGCTCATCTAAAAAAGAAAAAAAAAAAAAAAAAAAAAAAAGCAGAAGAATTTGCAGCTCCTCCTCCTCCCCTTTGCTCAGCAGCAGAACAGATCCTGCTGTCATTCAGCTGGAACCAGAAGAAACAAACCGGACAATAACTGTGGCATCAGAGATCCTCTCAGCTCTCAGGCATGGCACTATCCAGGATTGTAAAGAATAAAGATAAAACAGATTAAGGATGGGTGAAGGGAGGTACTAACTTCCTTCCATGTCCTTCATGGAAGCCTGGCTTTTTCTGTAAGATGGGGTATAAATCACTGCTTAGTGTACAGAAGAAAAGTTTACGTGGTGGTTTAGAGCCCTTCTTGATGTAATTGCACAAGATACATTCTCTGATATTTTCTAGATGGAAGCTGTTAACAAGTGAATCCTAGATTAAGTCACTGCTTTAAAAATCTCATCTTGTATGTACTGAAAGGAAAAAATCTTTAATTCTGAAGCTATTGTAATGGAGTGACCTGTAACTGGGAGATTCCTTGCATTGCCTGTGATAATTCACCATATGTGGGAGAAAATGCTGGTAGGTTAGAAAAGTGATGATAGATTAGAAATTTGGTGGGTTTGGGTGGTTTTTTGTTTTTTTTTTTCCACAGCCTTTACAGCACCTCCACATTCCTATTATTTTCTTTTGGATTAGTAACATCTTAATTCACAGTATTAGAACTTGATTTTTCTGATTAAGAAAGGGTAGAATTCTGAGGATCTCTTGTGGTTCTATAGGGAAAGTTACATCTTTACACAGATAGAACAAACTTTGGGCTTGCTGCATTTCAATAAAGTTAAGGTTCCAGAAGAATGTGGGTTAATGTTCTATATGATTAATGCATGATTAATACATGCTTAAGGAGTAGCCTTGTGCAGCCACCACAGCAAACCAAACCCCATACAGCAGTTTTGTTCA